AATATTTTTGTTAGAGAAAACATAACTTCATCCTTATTTTCCCTTGTCTCCCTCCAGATTCCCTGGTCTCACTAAGTTATTTAGTTACTCAGTCATGCTGGGTCTCTCCCATGCACACAGAAGTTACCTATGTTATTGTTGAACTTCTATATGATTTTTTTCATCACTATGTCTGATGCTTCTTTGATTATTTGCCAGCCTAGAAGAACCCAGAAGGTATGGGCTGACACATTATGCCCTGACACATTAAATAATACACTTCCCCTGATTTTTAAAAGAAGAGTGTATTCAGGACAGAAAACTTGGGGAGGCGGGTAGGGAATGGAAAGACCAGAATTGATCTCTACCCAGAGAGATAAAAAGTTTTACTGATACACAGGGAGAAATAAAAGCACTTTTCAATCTAAAAATCCTAAAGACAAAATACAGCATTTCTTCAAAAACTAATACTTATCAAAAGAATCGTAACAGATGAATCTCCGTGAAAGGGGAAGAGCATTAAACAGGTGCCATTTTTCCTGCCCCACTTACATGCAGCCACCTTGGTTACGCGTCCCAGTATGCGTGAGCCAGACTTCCTGTGGGGGGAACTACTGCAGGTAGTACTTCTACTAGAGGTAGAGCTGAGTGGCCAGGTAGACTTATGTAACAGGGAGAGCAGGTAAGGGCACACTGTTGCTTTTTTGGTTCTCACTTGCACCTTGTACTGCTGGAAGGAGACACGTGAAGACAGATTGAAAGAGATACATGGAAGAGAGACATGCGGGTGACAGACATGTGACGAGACTGTTCATGGCATATACAATGGCAACAGTTATCCTGACCTCATAGTGAATTGTCTGCGTGTATTTTCGTGCTCACCTTCGGTGAGTTCCCCACCTGATGTACCTTGGGCTTGTCGCAAGCTTTAGGCTCTCACTTGCCCTGTTTTGGGCTGAGTCTGTTTGACTGGGCCTTTGCCCACAAGGGATGAGTAATTTTAATATTTGCAGGCCCCTGCCAGTTCCTGTAGTTGCAGCTACACCTGGCACTATTAGTTGGAACTGGACCATCTCTCTCTCTCCTTTCCCTCTCTACCCAGTTAGTTAAAATGAGTATATATTTTTTCTTTTGCTGCGCCAAAGTCCCTTTTGTTTCCATTTGTGGTGGCAGTGGCTGGGTCCAGAACTGGTGAGAGAGGGTCTGACCTGGGGACAGGTTTTAGATCCTTTGTCCCTTGACAGAAATCTTCTGTAAAAACATAACCTCATTTTAACTCATTATAAATAAACTGGCATCATTTCTTTTCAAAAATAAATTCCTTCCCTTGAGAAATCTGGTTGCCTGTTACTTCAGCCTCTACTCCAATCCCACCCACAAATGGCACACATACCCCTTCACATTTGGTTATTTCTCTCCATTGCCACCGTTTTTAAAAGTAATTTATTTATTTTATTATCATGGTTTTATTTTTCCATCATTTTGTGCCTTTTCCCATCTCAGTTGTAATCCCCGTGGGCTTCCCATCACCAGCTCACCCATGTGCCATCACCATAGTCTATGCCACCATTTTACCACCCTTGTCAGGACTGTCTTTCAGTCTGACATAGTCCAGGTGGGTCCTCCATCCGGTCTATTATGAGGAGAGGCCTGGAAGGACCCCAGCATCTCCATTTATTCTCATTAGAATTTTCTTTTGTTGTGTGAAACTTTCTTCTCAGCCACTCCCAAGGACCCAGCCCCCTTCCTTCTCTTGCCTCCTCTGACTTTTTTAAAAAGATGTATTTAGTTACGCATACAGACCTGGGGTCCAGGCCAGAGGTGCAGGGGCAGTGAGAGAAGTCACCAGAGACAGAGTGGGGAGCAGAACAGGCAGAGTGACAGGAGTACACTGCTGAGGCAAGCAGTGAGAGGGGACAGGAGAAGTCATCTCCCTGGCCAGGGATGAAGCTCAGGGATGGGACTGTGGCTGGCTGGCTGGCTTCTGGCTGGCTTCATAGTGCTGTGCTTTAACCCTTGCGCCACCAAAGAGGGCCCCTCTGGTGACTCTTAATGAGCATGGCTGGGTTCAGTCCTTAGTAGTTTTGCCCTCTGATGTAGAGTCTCTTGTCCTGCTGCTACTAACCATGGACTTCAGTTGATTACGGGTTATGATTGCGGGCTACGCCGTGTTGCATATACATTATGTCGAGTCTTTACAGCAACTTGCAAGCTGTGACCATGGACAAGCTTCAGACCTCTGTGAACTGTTTCCTCATTTTAAACATTGAGAATAGAAGTTGTTTAAACAACACCAGCAGGAGTCTGCATCTGCACAATAACTCATGGCTTTCCTTAGATGTTTGTCTTAGTTCTCCCTGGGATCTCCAACACTCTGTATAGGGCTCTTGTATAAGATCTGAATGCATACTTCTATAGTGATTGATTGAATATCATTAAATTCTGCAACTAGATTCCTGAGGTAGTTTTGAGAAATGAGACATAGATTTGTATTTAAAGCAGTAAACACTTTAAGGAAGCAATGCAACAAGATCTGATTGTTAAATGTCTGCTTACAAAGCTAAGTCCTAAAGTCTCTCCCACAGGAATGTTTTGGTTAATTGGATTTCTTGCCACTGTGAATTAGTTTTTTTTTTTTTGTTAAAATAGACTGGTTAGAAACTGTGCTAAATTCCCTCAAATTTTAATCCACTTTCTTGTCTGAGGAAGAAGGAACTGCTGAATCCAGCTGTATCCCCTTTGGTAACTGAGGACTCTGCAGTGTCTCCAGGGTAAAGCTGGAGAGTGGCAGGTGGGGGAGGAGAAGAGGAGGGAGAGGGATGGGGGAAACACTGAAAAAGAGGGGGAGCACGAGGT